GAGAAAGAACAAGGAATAAAGTAGATGTGACTTAAGATAAACCTTGTCTTAGAACAAAATCTTGATATAATTAGAGTGAGTGCAGAAGAAAAGGACAAAGATTAAGGCAATTAGACAGAACTTGAACAATAGGGAGGACAAATAAAGATCATCCAGTATACTATAAGAACATGTTTTTGAGATGGAAAATCTGGTCAACGAACAGAAATATTCATAATAAAAATTTCACATAAAGTTAAGGAAGAATCGATAGATTCTACAAATTGATACAACATATCTTCTTCCAGGAAAAATTTATGCAGAAAGAATGATGCGTACCAAGACAGATCATGGTTAAGGAATCAAAGTTCAAGGATAAGTGAAAGACTTAGGAATTCAGGAAAGAAAGTAAGTGCTCCATGAGGTGGAAGAGTCAGGCTACAAACATCACCATAGCAGAACTGAGTGACAGAAGATGGTGGAGGTATAGCTACAAAGTTATGAGTAAAAGAAATTGATATTCAAGAATATTATACCATACAGTTTAACAACAAAAACAGCAGGTAGATGTTCTTAGACATGAAAGCCATGAGCAGTTATAATATCTAAGACTGAAAGAGGCTGGGTATGGTGGCTCACACCTGTAATCCCAGCACTTTGGGTGGCCGAGGCGGGCATATCATCTGAGGTCAGCAGTTCGAGACCAGCCTGGCCAACATGTGTGGGAAACATGTGATGTGAAACATGTGTGAGCCACTGGCAACCAGGGCACAGGAAATTTAAGAAAAACATTGAATATGGAACATTCTCTTTTTATCAAGAAATCAGACTGCTTCAAAATTCAAATGATGAAGTATAGTTATAAATCTGTTTGGTAATTTTAATTTGTTTTAAAGATGTTTTAGATCATGTTATGAGATGACAAGGCCAATAAAACATAGGAACTTTAAAAAGTTTGCAAGCATACAGTTTTTTTGTTTTGTTTTGTCTTTTGGTTTTTTGAGACTTGAGTCTCGCTCTGTTGCGCAGACTGCTGTGCTGTGGAGTGATTTTGGTTCACTGCAACCTCTGCTTCCCAGGTTCAAGCGATTCTCCTGCCTCCAGTTCCGGAGTACCTGGGACTACAGCGGTGCACCACCATGCCCGGCTAATTTTTGTATATTTTGTAGAGAAGGGGTTTCACCTTGTTGGACAGGCTGGTCTCGAACTCCTGACCTCAAGTGATCCACCTGCCTCGGCCTCCCAAAGTCTTGGGATTACAGGCTTGAGCCACTGCATCCAGCCCTACAGAGATTTCTTTATATGAAAATGGGGTGTTTTTTTTTTTTTTTTTTAATGTATACCACATTTCATTTATCTATTTTCATCAGCTGATGGGTGTTTGGATCATTTTTACTTTTTGACAATTATGAATAATTCTGCTATGAACATTCATGTGCAAGTTTTCTTGTGGACATATATTTTCCTTTTTGTTGGTAAGATACCTAGGCGTGGAATTGCTCGTTCATATAGTAATATAGCCATATTTAACTGTTTGAGAAACTACCCGATCGTTTTCAAAGTGGCTGTGCCATTCTACTGTTGTTAGTTTTTTTTTTTTTGAGATGGAGTCTTGCCCCATCGACAGGCTGGAATGCAGTGATTTGATCTCGGCTCGCTGCAACCACTGCCTCTTGGGTTCAAGCGATTCTCCTGCCTCAGCCTCCCAAGTAGTTGGAACTACAGGCATGTGCCCCCACGCCCAGCTAATTTATGTATTTTCAGTAGAGACTAATTTTTGTATTTTCATGTCGGCCAAGATGGTCTCTGTCTCTTGACCTTGTGACCTGCTCACCTTGACCTCCCAAAGTGCTGGGATTACAGTGGTGAGCCACCACACCTGACCTGGTGTTAGTTTTAAAAGGCAAATACAGTAATTTAAATTGCAGATTTCATGCTTTGTTCTACCAGAACTCCTAATATAAAATTGTATTTAGATGGTGTTATGAGATGACTACAACAGATTTTTGTAGTTTATTCAAATTTCTGAGGTTTTACACATTAAATTATATATTTATGACTGAGTAGGTTTGTTCTTCTAAAAAGGATTGGCAGGCTGAAATGGGAAGTAGTCTGATTACTAGATAGAAAAAGAGCATTCCATACTTAATGTTTTGTTAATTGTCCTGTTCCTTGGCTTTCTTAGTTTCTTCTCCAGCACTGGGTATGCTTCACCTTCTAGCCTTGATAAACCTCAGAGGCAGAGTTGCTGGCAATGAAATGTAATACTTGAAAATTATTTTTTTGTAGGTTATGTTCTAGCTGAGGGGGTACTGAGGGCTGAACTCTGGCTAAGGCATTACTTGGGTAGATTACCTCTGGGCCTTGGTGGAGGATGAACCTTTTGATTATAATAACTTTGTAGTAAGCTTTGAAAGGTAGTGTGAGTTTTCCAACTTTTTTTCCCAAGATTGTTTGGTTGTTTGTAATCCCGTGAGATTCCATGTGAATTTTATGATGAGTTTTTCTATTTCTGCAAAAAAAAAGCCAGTATCATTTAAAGAGATTACATTGAACCCATAGATTGCTTTGTGTAGTATTGCCATTTTAATGACATTGTCTTCCAATATAAGAATTTGAGATTTCTTACCATGTATTAACTCTTTTTTTCTTTGAGCAATGTTTTGTGGTTTTCAGTGTTGAAAATAGTAAGCCTCCTTGGTCAAATTTACTCCTAGCTATGTTCTTTTGGATGTTCTTATAAATGGTATTATTTTTTAAGTTTCCTGTTTGGATTGTTTAACGTTAGTATATAGAATACAAACAAATTTTGTGTGTTGATTTTGTATCCTGCAACTTTGTATTTATTTGTTAGCTCTAATTTTTCTTTTGCCATTTCTTTAGGGTGCTACATATGAGATCTTGTCGTCTTGAATAAAAATGCTTCTTTTTAATTTGGATACCTTTTATTTCTTTTTCTTTCCTAGTGCTCTGACAGTAATTTCCAATACCATATTGAATATAAATGGTGAATGCAGTCATCTTTGTCTTGTTCCTGAAGTTTCCCACCCCACCATTTTTTTGTGACATCACTCTGAATTTTAAGATAATGGGATTCTATGTATTGGATGAGATTTAAAATTTTGCAGTGCAATAATTTTACAGAATTTAGCATTCAGGCCAGGTGCGGTGGCTCATGCCTATAATCTGAGCACTTTGGGAGGCTGAAGCAGGTAGATTGCTTGAACTCAGGAGTTCGAGACCAGCCTAGGCAATGTAACAAGACCTCGTCTCTACAAAAATTAGCCAGGCATGGTGACACATGCCTGTCATCCCAGCCACATAGGAGGCTGAGGCAGGATAATTGCTTGAATCCGGGAGGTGGAGATTGCCGTGAACTGAGATGGCACCACTGCACTCCAGCCTAGAAACAGAGGTAGACTGGGTTTCAAAAAAGAAAAAGAATTTAGCATTCATTTCATTGTCTGTCCTCAATATGAAACCCAGTGATTCTGTTTTCATTGAAATACTGCTTTGTAAAGCATTAGTTTACAAGTTGGCCATGAGATACAATATCACCTCTGTTAATACCTGGTAGAAAATGAAAAGTCAAATTAAGAGCACCCAAGAGCAAGACTCATTTCCTGTAAAGAAATAAAAGATTCTGATCTTCAAGTCATGTATTTACATGTTTTAGGGGCCAGGATGGTATTTTAGAAGTAATGTTGGATTTCTCTTCAAGAAAGTTGTCTTTAAGACTGAATGGTACCTTATAACTGAAGTCATTTCTCTTTCTATTTAGCAATAGCTGGGAGATTTTTATTTCCTGCTTGTTTTTGTTATTGGTTGAAAAATGGTGGCTTTTCTGGTTTATATTATCTCAAATTTAATTATTATGGCATTTTAACATTTAAAAATATTAGTTTATAGATATTCTTCAGCAACTAAATTTTCTGCAAATCTTTTGTTTCATCTTCCACTTCTAGATTAGTTTTTAACCCTCCCCCCAAAACTTTCTTTTTTTTTTGAGACTGAGTCTTGCACAGTCGCCTAGGCTGGAGGGCAGCAGTGCAATTCTGGCTCACTGCAACATCTTTCTCCCAGGTTCAAGCGATTCTCCTGCCTCAACCTCTGGAGTAGCTGGGATGACAGGTGCTGCCACCATGCCAGCTAATTAAACCTTTTTTAAAAAATTAGAAGTTTAATGGTACTATAGTGAGGTATATACTCTTCTGGGGTGGGAACAGAAGGGGTGCGGGTTCACTTTGAACATAAGCATGACTTTTTCATTGATTATTTCAAAGTCTAACCAGGGATGTTAGCAGGGAGTTGTACATCACTTATAAATTTTCAAGTGTTTATTTTCTTTGTATTAGGCCTCAAGAAAGGAGAACTGGTTATGAACAGTTTCATCCAGGCCCATCCCCAGTGGATCATGATTCACTGGAATCGAAGCGACCACGTCTGGAACAGGTTTCTGATTCCCATTTTCAGCGTGTCAGTGCTGCGGTTTTGCCTTTAGTGCACCCCCTGCCAGAAGGGCTGAGGTCTTCTGCAGATGCTAAGAAGGTAAGTGTTTGTTCTCTTACCCTGTAGAGTTGTAAGTTTGTAATGTTTGTTTAGCTGTATTCACTCATAGCACCTCAAAGTCCAGTTACTCCAGTCTCTAAAGGTTAGTGCTATGGGAAAGTAAAAATTTTGTTAAACAAAACTAGAAACCACAGACTTAGTGCTCCAGACTGCTAAAGTGAGCACTTTTGCCTTTTTGGTCAGTGAAAACAATCCAAAAAGACTACTCCCGTAAAGAAGAATTTCGATCGAATAATGCTCAAGCATTTTTTTTACTGGCTTGCTGGTTGTAAAATGTGTTCAAAGGTATTCAAGATTACTAGTTTTGTTAAATCTTAATTAAATTTTAAATAAGCCTCTTAAATTTAGTAGCAGTTTATTAACTGCTATATGGGAAAAAACACATCTAGGTAAGGTTAAATTGTGCTTGTAAGTTTTTTATACAAAATAAGATTGTTCCTAATTTATGTAAGTAATGCATACTTATAGAGAGCTTGGAAAATAAACAGAAAAAAGTTAGCTGTAATTCTGTAACTTGGATATAACGACCCTCCCCCAGTTTTATTGTGGAATAAAAATTGTATATATTTATGATGATATTTATACAGTGTGATATTTTGATATTATACATTGGGAAACATATCAATTTAATTAACATATTCATCACCTCACATAGTTTTTTTTTTTTTTTTTTTGGTGGTAAGAACATTTAAAATCCACTCTCAAAAATTTTTAAGTATATGGTACATATTATTGGTTATAATCACCCTGCTGTACAGAGATAAGAAGTTTTAGTATTTAGCTATATTTTGTGATATTTGAAACAATGAGAGTAGTAAGATCAAACCATTTTTGCCCTTGTGTTTGTTTACCCATCTTTTGTGAAATGTTTGCTCATGTATTCTTGTTTTGTTGCTATGTTTGCCTTTTACAATTGTCTGCTTTGCTTATTATTAAATCCGCAGATTAGGAAGTGTGTGATACTTAGTAGATACTGAATAAATCTTTGTTGTAGAAAGAATAAACTAATATTAAAAACTCTTAACAGTAAATTGTTAACCTTTTTACTAACATATTAATATTTTTCCCAGTGTCTTTTTGTTTCAGTTTTTTTTAAGCATACTGAAATTAAAAATTTTTTTTACTGTCATCAAATCTTTTTTTATAATGTTTATTAACCTTTATGCCTAATTGCTCTTTCTTCTCTGATATCAGATAAGTAAGTACCTGCAAATATTCTTTGAGTTTTCATGCAATGAAGAGTGATTTAAAAGATAGTAAATGTTTCTACAATTTATTTTCATATAGTTCAGCCAAAATGAAGTGGGGTGTGTGTGTGTGTGTGTGTGTGTACATACACACACATACACAAAGAAAGCAAATATGTCAAAATGTTAACCACTGGTGAATCTAGATGAAGGGTAAATAAGTGTTCATTATACTGTTCCTTCGACTTGTAAGTAAGTTTGAAATTTTTCAAAATAGTAAGTTGGGTGGGGAAAAACTCTGTGCCCTAAGCTAGAAATTAGTTAAGCTTCTAGGTGTTTTGTGACTCACCTTATCATGTGAAATATCTTTATCATATAGTAGTCTGTGGAGTTTATAAGAAATGTTTTGCTGCATTAAAAAAAAAAGAAATATAGTGAATAAAGGTCTTCTGTGGCTGACTATATTACCACAAATGTAATTTATAACTATAGATTTTTTTTTTTTCGCAGAAAAATATCTTAACTCATTCATTAAAATGGAACATGTTGTGTTGTAGTGTGACCCATTTCCATGTTACAGTTGAGAAACTGGATGTTAAAAAAAATTAAAGTGACCTAGGTAAAACCTCCTGAGTAGGAATTAGCCCAGGACCCCTGACTCTAGTCCTGCTTTTTTCCCCCTAAAGTGTAAAACATGACTACTACTACTAACTAATACTTCTGTCTCCCTCTCCCTGTTCTCTCCCAAACGCCCACCTCCAGAAGTAAGGATTTAAAAAGAACTAACATTTGTTCAGTTTTTTTTTAAATGTTAAGCCTAGGCATATCATTTATAGAAGAGTTAAATAAGCTTGAAAGAAAAAAGTATCTACAGTTTTACCACTTAAAAATCATCAACATTTTCATGTTGATTCTTCCCTATTTGTATGTATGTTATTTTAATTTTAATTTTATTTAATTTTATGGGTTTTTCTTTGCTGCTCCTTATGGAACAGGGCTAACCCATAGGCAGTGTGTCCAGAGTCAGCCTGTATAAAGATTTTAATGTGGCCACTGTATGCATTCTGTTTAACTTTACTTTTCCTTACATATATGATTAGCTTCTTTTTGTGCCAATTCGTTTACAGCTGTATTGTTAGTGGCTATTTAGTATTCCACATATGAATATAAAGTTATTTATTTAATCAGTCATCATACATTTAGGTTACCTGTTTGTTCATGTGTACAGTGTTGTGACATGTATTTGTTTTTGTTTTTTTTGAGATGGAGTCTCACTTTGTTGCCCAGGCTTGAATGTAGTGGTGTGATCTTGGCTCACTGCAGTGTATGCCTCTCAGGTTTAAGCGATTCTCCTGCATCAGTCTCCTGAGTAGTTGGGACTGCAGGCACATGCCACCACGTTCGGCTAATTTTTGTATTTCTAGTGGAGACAACGTTTCACCATGCTGGCCAGGCTGGTCTCGAACTCCTGACCTCAGGTGATCTGCCTGCCTCAGCCTCCCAAAGTGCTGGGATTACAGGAGTAAAGCCACTGCAAATGGCCCATACATTGTTTAGACTGATTTTTTTTGTATACATTCTTACTTATTTCCATAAGGTAGATTTCTTACAGTTTAATTAATTACAGACCAGAGTTGATTTTTAAGGCTTTCAGTGGGTATTTCCAGATTGTCCTGCAAAAGATTGGGCCATTTCTTAACTCCTGACAGCAGTGTATAAAGAAACCTACTCCTTATGTATCCCTGATAACACCACATATTTATGGTTTTAAAAAAAAAGATTGTTAATTTGATGAATGATGTGTTTTTTGTTTTTTTTTTGAGACAGTCTTGCTCTGTTGCCAGGTGCCAGGCTGGAGTGCAGTGCCGTGATCTCAGCTCACTGCAACCGCCACCCCTGGGTTCAAGCAGTTCTCCTACCTCAGCCTCCTGAGTAGCTGGGACTACAGGCATGCACCACCATGCCCAGCTAGCTAATTGTGTATTTTAGTAGAGACAGGATTTCACCATGTTGGCCAGGATGGTCTTGATCTCTTAACCTTGTGATCCACCCGCCTCGGCCTCCCAAAGTGCTGGGATTACAGGCATGAGCCACTGCTCCCGACTGAATGATGGTTTTTAACTTGTACTTGTTAGTAAAATTTAACATTGTTTCATGTTATTGGTTATGCATCTTTCCTATTTTGTAAATTGCTTTTTCATGTATGTTGCCCATTTTTCTGTTGGTTTATTTTATATTGAGTTGTTAGACTGCCTGCTTTGTAAACGGTTTTTCTATTTCATTTGCCTTTTTAATTTGTTATTACTGTTTTGAGAAGTAGATGATTGTGTCTTTTTGTGCGTATGGTTTTTTTTTTTTTTTTTTTTTGAGATGGAGTCTCGCTCTGTTGCCAGAGCGAGTGCAGTGGCACGATCTCGGCTTGCTGGGCTCAACCTCTGCCTTCTGGGTTCAAGCAATTCTCCCATCTCAGCCTCCCAAGTAGCTGGGCCTACAGGCGTGCCCCACCATGTCCAGCTAATTTTTGTATTTTTAGTAGACGGGGTTTCCCCATGATGGCCAGGATGGTCTCAATCTCCTGATCTCATGAGTTGCCTGCTTCGTCCTCCCAAAGTGCTGGGATTACAGGCGTGAGCCACCACGCCCGACCTATTGTGTTTTATTTATTTATTTTCCCAATTGTGTTTTTAAATTTTGATCCATCAATCTCCCTCTCTCTCTCTCTCTCTCTTTAAACTAATGTCTCTTATATCTTTTGCTTTTGTCTTTCCTGAACCCAAAATAATATGAATCTTTTTTTTTTTTTTTT